TATCTTCTATAACTGAAACTTTGTAGCTGTAAGCAGAGGCCTGGACCAGCCAGGGTGTGTGGAAAGCTTGGCCAGGGCAACCCAAGCCTCCTGTTCTCTCAGTGTCAACAGCCATCTTGGTTGGGTTAATTTGCATACTTGCTCCTGATTGGCTGGTGGGCATGCTTATGGGTACAGCAGAAGTATGGTCAATTTGCATATTGTTCTTTTATTAGATAAGATATAGATAATTACGCCTGTACCAAAACAGCTATAGAGGGAAGAATAACACTATTTTCAGTGGGATAAAATAATGGCTACTTCTTCTCAGCTCAAAATCAAGAAATAACTCCTGGAACTATACCAGCCTTTAGGTGTATCTGGCTTTACATCCAAACATCTAGGAAAGGATGCAGCAGAAGGAGGTATGTCAAGGAGGAGATAGAAGGTGGATGGACAGTGGGCTAGGAGTAAGTAGTGTACTATTATTCCAAGTCTCAACTGCCACTTCCTAAGACTCATAGTCATGTTTGTGAATATGATCTTAGGAAAATATGACTTCCCAGTGAAATGTCACAGCAAAAATCAATTTTTTGGGCAAAAAAGAAAAAAGAATAGAACAGTTAATAACCTGTGGAAAATTATGGACTGCAGCCCAAAACCAGCCAGCTGCTTGATTTTATTGTAGCCATTCCCATTTATTTACATATTGTCTATGGCTGCTTTTGTATTACAAAGACAAACTTGAGTATTTTCAGTAGAGACTATGTAGCTCACAAAACCCAAAATATTTACTACATGGCTCTGTGCTGAAGAAGTTTGCTGATGCTTGTTTACAACACTGTTCTCCAAAGTAGGGTATTACCTAAGGAGTACACATGGCAATGAGTTGGGCTATGAAAAGTTTAAGAACTTCTATTGTTAACTTTTAAAATTTCATCTTTTTTACTTCATTTTGTATATTTTTTGTAATGTTTATATTAGTACTACTAGTACTAAATTGTTTTATAAATCAGGGTGCTTAACCTATGAAATTCAGAGACCACTAGTCTATACTTGTGGTCTTACAACATCAGAATCAGATGGAGGATGTTAAAATGTATATTCCTAGGGCCTACCTATGGAAGGCATTATAATACATGCTCCCCCAAAATTTCTACAACTTAATCCTCAGAACCTATATATATTCTACATTATGTGGCAAAAGAGGCTTTGCATATATGATTAGGCTAAGATTTGAGATGGGGATTACTCTGATGGACCCAATGTAATAACTGGTTTCTTTTTAAGTAAAAGAATGAGGCAAAAACTTCAGAATCAGAAAAAGGGATGTGATGGTGGAAACAGAGATCAGAGTGATGCAATTGTTGGCTTTGAAGATAGAGGAAGAGAGAAAAGGAATGCAGACAGCCTCTCTAAACTGGAAAAGGCAAGGAAACGGATTCTCTTCTAGATTCCTAGAAGAAACATAGTCCTGCTTACACCTTGGTTATAGCCCTCTGAAGTCCATTTTATATATTCTGACCTCCAGAACAATAAGATAATGAATATGTGTTGTTTTGACTGATAGACTTTGTGGTAATTTCTTACAGCAGTAGTAAAATATGAGTACAAAACTTCTAGAGATTCTAATTTAGTATGTCTGGATTTTGGTGCCTAAATTCCTGAATTTTAGATCTATGGCTGCTATCAATAAAATGTATTTCCTCAGGCAGTCACTAATCCCCAGTTTTAAAGAAAAGAAAGTAATACTACAAAAGGTTAATAACTTCTTAGTTTATAAAGTTCTCTTTTTGTTTATGTGAGATAAATGGACGAGATGATGCTTTGAAAAAAAGTAAAAGCATCATGCATTTATGAGCTATAACTGTGTGCCTTTTTGTCAGGGCACCTGCATTTCATTTAAAATCACTTTATTTTTAGTTTTTTGAGGAAACTTGATACTGTTATCCACAGTGGCTGCACCTGTCTGCATTCCCACCAGCAGTGCAAGAGGGTTCCTTTTTCTCCGCACCTTCTCCAACACTTGTCATTTGTTGAATTATTGATGATTGGCATTCTGACAGGTGTGAGATGGTACCGCATTGTTGTTTTAATTTGCATCTCTCGGATAATTAGTGACTTTGAGAATGTTTTCATGTGTCTCTTGGCCTTCCTTCTGTCTTCTTTTGAAAAGAGTCTATTTAGGTCTGTTGCTCAGTTTTTTATTGGATCATTTTTCTTCCTTTTATTAAGTTGTATCAGTTGCCTGAAGATGTGGGAGATTAAACTTTTATCAGTGATAAAATTTTCAAATATGTTCTCCTATACAGTGGGCTTTCTTATTGTTTTGTTGGTTGTTTCTTTTGCTGTGAAAAAGCTTTTTATTTTGATGTAGTCCCATTTGTTTATTTTCTCTTTAGCTTCCATTGCCCTAGGAGCAGTATCAGTGAATAAGTTCTTTGGGCATATGTCTGAGATTTTTCTGCCTGTGGATTCCTCTAGAATTGTTATGGTTTCCCACCTTATGTTTAAGTCCTGTATCCATTTTGAATTTATTTTTGTGTATGGTGTAAGTTGCTGATCTAGTTTCATTTTTTTTGCATGTATCTAATTATTTTAATACCATTTGTTGAAGAAACTGTCTTGACTCCACTGTATGTTCATACCTCCTTTGTCAAATATTAATTGAGCATAGTGGTTTGGGTTGATATCTGGATTCTCTATTCTATTGCATTGGTCTATATGTCTGTTCTTGTGCCAGTACCAGGCTGTTTTGAGAACAATGGCTTTGTAATACAGCTTGAAATCTGGTATTGTTATCCCACCTACTTTATTCTTCTTTCTCATTATTTCTGTGACTATTAGGGGTCTTTTTCATTCCAGATGAATTTTTGGAGAGTTCTTTCTAGGTCTGTGAAATATGCCATTGGTATTATAATAGAGAGTACATTGAATCTATATATTGCTTTGGGTAGTATGGACATTTTAATGATGTTGATTCTATCAATCCATGAACATAGTATGTTCTTCCATCTGTTTACATCTTTCTCTCTCTCTTTTTTTCAATGTCCTGTAGTTTTCTGCATATAGGTCTTTTACCTCCTTAGTTAAGTTTATTCCTAGATATCTTAATTTTTTTGGTGCGATGGTAAATGGAACTCCCATTTAACCCAGTAATCCCACCCCTAATAATATATCCTAAGAAACTATAAACACCAATCAGAAAGGATATATGCACCCCTATGTTCATAGCAGCACAATTTACAATAGCTAAGTTTTGAAAATAGCCTAGGTGCTCATCATCAGATGAATGGATCAGAAAACCATGGTACATCTACACAATGGAATACTATGCTGCCATAAAAAGAAGGGATTCTTACCATTTGCAGCAACCTGGATAGAACTAGAGAGCATTATGCTAAAAAATGAAATAATCCAGTCAATGAAAGAAAAATACAACATGATCTCATTCATTTGTGGATAATAAAGAACATTATAAACTGATGAACAAAAAGATAGATACAGAGTCAGTAAAGCATCAAGCAGACTGTCAAATTACAGAGGGAAATTTAGGGAGAGGTGAGGAAGATAAGAGATCAACCAAAGGACTTGTATGCATGCAAATAAGCATAACCGATGGATGCAAAACACTGGGGGAGGGGATGTGTGAGGGCATGTATGGGAGTGGGGTGAGGGGGCAATGGTAAGATATGTATACAAATAATACCTTAATAAAAAATAAATGGTAAGGAATGGCTGGAAGACTGAGGAGTGTTTTTAGGAGCAGAGACAATATTTCTAAAGCCGGGGTGGTGGCAAAGGAGAGGGGACAAGGGTTGATTTGGGTGGAAGGTGAGGTGTTTCAGAGAAGCAGAGAAGGAGGGGAGCGAGGAGGCCAAGAGGGGTGGCAGGATCAGCTCCCTCATGGTTCTGTCTCCTGACCCTCCCTATGAAGCCCACTGCTTACCTTAGACAGGGCCTATAATTTGGTTTGTGTCTGGACAAATAAAAACTCATCTGGTGTGAGCCAGCCAGGAGGGGTGATGCCAGGCCCTCTGGGTGAGGGGCAGGGAGGCAGTCTGGGCTCCTAGTTCCTGTCTCTCCCCGCCCCTCCATGGTGAGATGTTAAAGACTAGGTGGAGATGGTGACAAACTCACCCCCTCCCAGGATTCCTTAGTATCTGAGAACTCTGTGTAACCTTAGAACTTCAGGCTGCTGGAATGTTAAAGAAATGGATTAGATAAGGGAGAAAAGGAAGTGGGGTTCACCGTACATGGAGTATGTTCCCATTTCTGTAAAAAAAGGGAAATACACATGAATGGTTTTGCTTGGCAAGGATAATAATTACAGAGAGTTTAATAATAGATTATGAAAGTCGTAGAATGTTCTAACAATAGAACTTTCGAATATTGGAATGCGAGCTTCCTGGAATATTGGGTGAGGGCATGGAGAGCTGTGAGGATAATAATAAGAGGACGGAGGGAAGGTAAGGCCTAGGATGTTACAATAATAGAACAGCCAACCATGAGTGGACTAACGGCACCTGCGGTGGTGAGAACGCTGGAACTCAGAACATCAGAGGGATAGAGGCTAGTGACCCTGCTGTCCCTTCCTGGCAGCATGCACCTTGGGGGACATGAGGACCCCTTTGGTAGAAAAGGGGAAACCAAGGCCCAGCAAGGCAGTCAGTGTGGCCTGACTGTCCCCTGGCTTCTGCCTGCCACCAGGGCACCAGTCAACAGTCATTTATTGAGCACCTACTGTACGTTGGAGATTCAGCAGTCAACACAAGGTCCCTTCCCTCCTGGAACATACACTCTAGACTAGGGGTGTCGAACTCAATCAGAGAAGGGGCCAAAATCTAAAATCCAGCCTAAATCGCGGGCCGAATGGTTTACTGAACAGTCATAAACTGTCATTGTGATGGAAACGCAGCGGAGTGCAGTGATGACAGCGCGGTGCGGGCCACATTGCAAGGCCTGGCGGGACGGATTTGGCCCGCGGGCCTTGTGTTTGACACATGTGCTCTAGACAGACAGACAGACAGACAGACAAAAACAAGATACAAAGTAAGGTACTGCAAAGCCAGCGCAGAGCTGCAGGTGGGGCTGCCTCATCTCACTGCTCAGCCTTCACAAGACAGGTGAAGTCCTCCCCTGCCCCCTTCCCACTGCTCCTTCCATCCACAATCCTCCTGTGATCTAGCCCTTACTCACTTCCTTTCTGTTCCCTTTCCTACATTCCTTAGGCTGATCCCTTCCTCCACCCTGTCCCTCTACCCCCAACACCTCCTTTTCCGTTATCTTTTCTTATTTCCTCACTTCTTATTGGGGTCCTGGGAAATGCCAGCACCCACACCCACACTGCCTGGTCTATTCAGTACTCCCCGATTGTAGCCCTACCTGTCTCAACACCTTCCTATGTGTTTCCCTTGGCTTCTAGTACATTCCACCCACGATCACTTCAGCTTAGCCCCACTGCTCCCTTTGTCCTGCACAGAACTCTGGCCAGGGCCCATGACACCTTCATCTCTTCCATAAGCACTCCCCTCTGCCAGTTTCTGTGTCACCCCATTCTTCCCCCACTTACCCTCTGACTGCCTCTAGAAACACCTCCTTAACAAAGCCCTTGGTCCATCCCCCCCCCCCACACACACACACAACTCCCTCTTGTGTTGATTCAGTCCTTCCCCTAATTTTTCCCTCTCAAACTCCACACTTTCCCATTCACAGCCAACCTCCTCTCTTCCCTGGGGGACCACTTCCCACTATGTCCCCCTGAGCCTCCAAGGAGGGGGCTCAGGGAGCCCCATGGTCTCCCCCCCCCGTGTCCCCACAGACCCCGGGGGCTATGGGAAGCTCCTGAAAGGCCCAGCGCTGAGGATGGGCAACCACAGCTGGGAGGGCTGCCACGTGGACTCCCGCATGGACCACCTCTTCCCACCTTCCCTCTACATCTTCGTCATCGACATGGGGCTGCCCACCAAATGCCTGGCACTGTTGGCTGCCTACTGCCCGGTGCTCCAGGGCAATGAGCTGGGTGTATACCTCATGAACCTGAGCATCATCGACCTGCTATACATCTGCATGCTGCCACTCTGGGTCGACTACTTTCTACAACATGACAACTGGATCCATGGCCATGGCTCTTGCAAGCTCTTCAGCTTCATCTTCTACACCAACATCTACATAAGCACTGCCTTCCTGTGCTGCATCTCGATGGACTGCTACCTGGCCGTGGCCCACCCGCTGTGCTTGACGGACCCCATCCTCTACTACCTGGTCAACAAAAGCACCCCCAGTGACGTGGCCAAGGCCCTGCATAACCTGCTGCACTTACTGGCCAGCGACAAGCCCCAGGAGTTGGCCAATGCCTCCCTCACCCTGGAGACCCCACTCACTTCCAAGAGGAACAAGGTGGCCAAGGTCATGGAAGCCGTCTGGGTGGCAGCTCCATCCTCCTAGGAGGACCAGGTGCAGCTGAAGATGCTGCCATCAGTGGCACAATGAACCTCAGATGGCACAGAGACAACCCCCTCCCCAGTAAATTCATCCCACACGCTGGACCCGCTTGCTCTGGTGTATGCAAATTGTATGCAAATAAGGCCATGTTACTATTAATCATGTGAATATAAGAAAAGAGGAAAATAGCAATCAATAAAAAGGAAAAACAAACAAACAAACAAACAAATAAATTCTGGGGAAAATAAATAAATAAAATCACTTTAGTTTTGTTATATTTTAAGAGACATCCAATATGATTTTTTTCCCTCTAGAAGCTCTGTGAACATGAGGTTTTATGTGCAAACATTCACAGCTTTGTCAATTATTATAACAGTATGTTTTACATTTGACTTTATGGTTTAAAACAAGCATGTCAAAATCGCGACCTTCATGTGGTCTACAACAAATATTTTTGTGGCCCAGCGAATATAATGGTATGTAAGAAATGTTTTAATAAAAATTCCTAAACTTAATTTTTACAATATCCTGTTATACATCATTATTAATAATGAACTACAACGTTCGCTAATGACTGATTACTATAACCGTGTCACATTCATTTTCCTTATGCACCTTACCCGCAGGCACACCATTTCTCTCCACTAATACTAACAGAGAATATTTTAGCAGCCGATTGCCACATCATTAGTCTTGGACTGACTTGTTTGGTGTATGCAAAAGAAAATATTTCTCTTTCAGAGAATAAGAAAAATAGGTTTATTTGAGTTACACCTATTAATTTGTGCAATTATTCAGAGTCTGGTAAGTTAATGTTCAAAAAATACTAATTTGTATTAAAATGTTCTATTATTTTATGTTAATGATTACTCATTTATTTTAGCCCTTTGTATTCAGCATCTCATTATCGAAATAAACCTACGTTTCTGTGAAAATTAAAGCTTTTGTTTTTTGCGGCCCACATAAACTTAAACCTTGTTTATTTGGCTTGTTTAGCCTTGGAGTTTGACATGATTGGTTTAAAAAAACACTATAATTTATATTACATTACCTGACCTGAACAATGACTCTCTCATCAACTCATGTATTAATGTTAATAATAGTAAATGTGATAGGTTATATATTTGTAGAGGTTTGTAAAGGTGAATAATCCAGAACTCTATACATAGTGGGCTTTGTATTGGGTTATGGTAATTAGCTTGGAGGAGGCAGGTTTGCCATATGTACTAGGAATTTACCACAAGACAATTTCTGAATTAGAGCTAGAAAGTGATCTAACATTCTCATTTTCTTCAAAGAATTTTTTTCAAATAATTCTTCCCTTCCCCGCCTCTCTAGAATACTAATAAATCACCTTATGTTTTTGCTAAAGGCAAAGTGCTGAGATGAGTTTGCTTGCCTCTAGAATCTTTGTGGATTGGTCAAAATAATGTTCTACAGTCTAAGAAGTACATGAGCCATAAACTCTTAACTCTTTTAATCCTGCCTTTCGGGTTTTAGTCATGCTTTTTGCAACATTCCCTCTCTTCACTATCAAATCCTATTTCTCTTAGAAAGTGACCTCCTCCATATAGCTTCTGATGGCCACTCCAGGTATCATTTATTTGTCTTCCTTGCAGTCCTATCAATCATGCAGGTTACACTGTTTTAGCATTACCTTGTTTTGGAAAGCTCATTCTGCCACCTTACTGGCTCTGTATTTTATCCTTTCTGTGTGTTCCTATAGGTCCAATAATAGATTTGGGAAATATTTTGATGTTGAAAAATACTTATTGTTTAGTTTCATGCCCCCCCTCACAGTTTTATCAAGATGTAATTGACATATAACATTGTGTAAGTTTGTGTAATGATTTAATACATGTATATATTGTGAAATGCTTACCACACTAAAATTACTTAACACATCCTTTATCTCTCTAATGATCATGTTATTATTGTTGTTGTTATTATGAGAACATTAAAGCTGTACTCTCATAGCAACTTTTAGGAATACAATACAGTATTGGTAACTATAGTCACCATGCTGTCTGTATATTATACTTCAAAACTTATTAATCTCACTAGAGGCTCAGTGCACGAAATTGTGTGTGGATAAGGTCCTAGGCTTAGCCTGTGATCAGGGCCATCTTCTCCCCACTCACTAGTCCCCAGTCCAACCCCACCACCGCCACCCAGCCTATTTCACCACCCAGCAATGCAAAGAACAGCCCACTCTGCCTTAGGTGCCTTGTGCCATCAAAGGGCACCTGGCCCTTTGCTCCTTTTAAAGGAGTAAAATAAACACCCTCTCTCTGCACCTGTTTTTTCTCTCCCTTGTGAATCCTTTTACAGCCAGTGTCACCAGCCAAAACCCTAACAATGATGTGGGAAACTCAACCTGGAAGGGCTATGCTTGTGTGAGGAGGTGCAAGGAACCAGGGCTGCCCCCTTGCTGCTGCCCTCCCCTCCTTCCCTCCCTCTGTCCCTGCACTGGCCCAGCACCTGGCTCGGCCCCTCCCCCATTGTGGAACTGCTCAGCTCAGGCTCTGGCCCCAATGATCCATCATTGAGGAGCCTGTCCAGTTTCTTGAAGACCCAGAAGCGGCTATGGATTAGGGAGGTGTTTTTGTGTGCTGTAAAGCTAATGTTCTCCATCCACCTCCCAGCAGTGAAGGCTGAGGGTCACTGCAGGTGCTGAAGTCCTTGTTAAAGTTTCAACTCCAGAGCCTCTCACAGCCATGAGTCTGCGTCTCCGGAGGCTATGCAATGGAGGTGCCAGGTTCCTTTAGGGAGAAACTGAGGATTGATCAGAGCCTGCGGGCCAGGGGAGGGATCAAGCGGTCTGCCTTTCACCTGCTCACCAGTCCCCAGGCCCACATCACTGCCACCCAGCCCAGTTCCCTTTGGCTCCCCATTATCCAGCAATTGGAGCTTGAGGGATGGGGGGAGGGACTGAGAGGTGGTCAATGCACCTCATAGCAACTGGTCAATCTGTCATTCTGGTCATGACACCTAGCCTTTTATTATATAGGATAACTGGCAGTCCATACCATCTGACCACCATCATTCATTTCCCCCAACCCTCAACCCCTGACAGTGACTATTCTCTTCTACGTTTCTAAGACTTTGATGTTTTAGATTCTACATTTAAATGAGATCATACAGTATTTGCCTTCCACAGTCTGACTTATTTTATACTCAGTCAAGTATCCTTTCATGACCATTTATCCACCTTTTCCCTCTGATAATCACCATACTCTTGTCTGACTCTATCAATTATTTCCATAACATTGTTTTAGGAGTAGTCCCTCCTCTTCAATTTTTAAAATAGTTGTGGAAGATTTGACATTAATTCTTCAAATGTTTGGTGGAATTCTCCCATGAAGTCATCTGATCCTCACCTTTGTTATTGTTGGGAGGTTTTTGATTACTGATTAAATGTCCTTAGGTATTTTCATCAGTTCATCATCAGTTCTTTATTCTTGACTCACACTTAGTAGGTTGTATGTTTCTAGGATTTTACCCATTTCTTTCTTGTGCAATTTATTGGCATATAATTGTTTATAGTAGTCTCTTATGATCCTTTGTATTTCTGTGGTATCAGTTGTAATGCCTCCTTTTGATCTATTATGTCATTTATTTAAGTCCTCTCCCTTTTTATTGCTAACTCTACCTAAAGGTTTGTCAACTTTTATCTATTCAGAAAACCAACTCTAATTTTTGTTGATTTTTTTTGTTTGTTCTTCTATTCTCTATTTGATTTATTTCTGCTCTAATGTTTATCTTCTCCCTTCTACTAAATTTGGACTCAGTTTGTTCTTGTTTTGCTGGTTCCTTGAGGTGTAAAGTGTGGTTCTTTATTTGAGATATTTCTGTTTCTAAAGACTGTAGGTATTTATCATTATAAACTTCTTTTAGTAGTACTTTTGCTATACCAGGTAAGTTTTAATATGTTGTATTTCCATTTTTGCTTGTTACAATACATTTTATTTCTCTTTTAATTTCTTTTTTAACCAGTTGTTTTTTCAAGAGTGAGTTCATTACCACATAATTGTGAATTTTCTAGTTTTATTCCTGTTATTGACTTCTATAACATATTGGTTGGAAAAGACATTTGGTGTAATTTCCATCCTTTTAATTTGGCTGAGATTTGTTTTATAACTTAACATATGAATTACTATCCTGAATAATGTTTATATGCTTGAGAAGAATTTATATTTTGCTTCTCTAGATGGTATGTTTTCTATATCTCTGTTAGGACTACGTGGTCTAAATATACTTCAGGCTCAATATTTTCTTATTGACTTTATGACTAGATAATTTATCCATTGTTGAAAATGGTATATTGAAATCCCCTACTATAATTGTATTATTGTTTATTACTCCCTGCAGATCTTTTATTTTCTTAACATATTAAAATTCTCCATTGTTGGCTTTATATATATTTATAATTGTTATATCCTCTTGATTAATAGACCCCTTTATTATTATACTAGAGGCCTGATGCACATACTCATGCACTGGTGGGGTTCCTCAGCCTGGTCTGGTGGGATCGGGTGGAAACCAGCCTGATGCATGAATTCATTCAGGGCATGTCCAGCCCACTTGCCCAGTCCCAATTGGGGCCAATTGGGGTTGGCTGGCCAGGTAGAGACCACAGGAGGTTGGCCAGCCAGGGAGGGACCTCATAAGGGTCCCAGGGCATGTCCAGGCCATCTCGCTCAGTCCTGATTGGCCAGACCTCAGCACCAAGTCTGTCCCCTGGTGGTCAGGGTGCATCATAGCTACCCGTAGAATGGTTGAATGGTCAAATGGTCATTTAGGCTTTTATATATATAGATAATGGCCTTCTTTGTCTCTTGTTACAGTTTTTTACTTCAATTTTATTTTGTCTGCTATAAATATAATTACAGTAAGCCTTCAATTTTAAGGACCTCAGTTTAACAGACTTCAGATTTAACAGACAAAATTTCCAGTCCATATGTCATATGTGAAAAATTAACATCTATCAATTTTTAAATGCTTTTATGCAGGACTTACTTATAATTACATTAACAGGTTATTTTTTGTTTTTAATTCAGTTATTTTTAAACAAATTTTAGTGAATTATCTATATGTGGGGGAAAATTGTAATAATTTTGGTGACATAAATATTACATATCTACAACTATCTATATATATAAAACCCTAACATGCAAATAGACCAAATGACAGAACAACCAAACAACTGAATAACCTGTCACTATGACATGTGCTGACCACCATGGGGTGTGTGCAGAACGTGGTAGGTGTCAGCAGCAGGCAGCAGAGTGCAGAACATGGCCAGCATCAGGCAAGTCAGGATGGTGGAATAGGTGAACAGGGGTGCCAGACCAAAGCTGAGCACCGATCTTTGTCATCTGGGTAAGCCTCTGGTGGTTACTGAAAATTCTTTACTCCTGCATGCCATGGTCCTCCCCAGTGCTTGTACTTGCTACTAGCACCAGCCCCACTGCCAGCAATAGAGTCACTGCTCGCACCCATTGCTGGTGCTGCTCCAGCTTATATCTGCAGCTGGCACTGGAGTTGTAGTTCACACCCATTGTTTGCACTCAGCACCAATCCTGATGTCTTGACTCCATCAGTGATTGCAAGTGGTGGCTGCTGTCCCAATCATCTTTCAGGGCTTCTTCACCCTCCTGCTCCTGAGGGGTGATTGGAGCAGCAGACACTGCTCACACCCACTGTTGCTTCTGACCCCAATCACTCTGCACCATCAGTGGGTGCAAGTGGGACCAACGCTGTCAGTGTATGGGAGCAGCAGTGGCAGAGAGAAGACCAGAGGCTATGGTGGGAGGGACCAGGTGGAAGTGTGGAGGATGGGCTGAGACCCTCCCCTGTGCCCACCACAGTCTTGTGGCCCACAGTTCCTTTCAAGGTGCATGAATCTGTGCACTGGACCCCTAGTAATCTACATATATAAAAGGTAAGAGTAAGCGCTTGTAAACAATGTTCTGCGAATGATTAGCAGATGATCACACTGCATTGTGAGTGGTAATTGGTTCTGTTGTTACCTGATGTGACTTTCTGAGGTAGTTTTAAGGTATGCTGACTAGTATTCCGACTTGTGCTAAGCCACATGTAGCCACATACATTTGTTACCTGAAGTGACTATGGAACACATGCATTTATTAGACCTAATGTATAAATTTAAAATTATACATATAGAAACAGTTATACATATAGAAAAATTTTCTGTGAAACTAAACTTTTCATACATATTTAATTTTAATTACATAGATGTGTAAATGTGGATAAACTAATAATGTATCAAATTTTTGACATATGCATTCAGAAAACTTACTTTATTATACAATGGATTTTTGGCATTAATGGACACCCCTTCATCTGAATTAGTCAATTATATTGAGGTTTTACTGCACTCTTATTCTTTTTTGGTTTTCATCTGTGTAGAATGTATTTTTCATGTCTTCACTTTTGAACTTAGATGTATCCTTGAATTTGAGGTGAGTCTTTTGTAAGCAGCATGCAGTTTAGTGTATTTTTCTTAATTTACTTAGCCACACTATTAGGCTATATATATATATATATATATATATATATATATATATATATATATATATAATATCTATACTAATAAAAGAATAATATGCTAATTAGACCAGATGTGGTCCAGATGACCTTCCGGACATCCTTCCAGACAAAGCCATGGCTGCGAGAGCAGAGGCAGGCCACCAATGCTGGGAGGGCCCATTGTAGAGCCCCTACCAGGATGGTAGTGCCTCCCTCCGTGTAGCATTGATCACAAAGCCCTGGCAGGGTGGGCATGGCAGATAGGGCCACCCTGTGGGTGGCAATGGGGCGGCCCACCCAGAACTCTGGCCAGGTGAGCAGGGCCTCTCTCTGCTCTGCCATTGATCCCAGAGCCCCAAAAGAGGATTAATAGCAGAGTCCAAGCTGGGTAGGAGGGCCTCCCTGTGGGCAGGAATGAATGGAGGAGCCCAGGACAGGTGGGCAGGGCCTCCCTGTAGGTGGGGATAAATGGTGGAGCCCAGGCTGGGTGGGAAGGATCCTCCCTCTGCTCCACCATTAATATATATATATATATATATATATATATATATATATATATATATATATATATGAAAGTCTAAGCAACCAGCCTGTGGGGATCCAGCCAAAAGAGGCTCTCCAACATCTCCCAAGATGTCCCAGATTGCAAGAGGGCACAGGCCAGGCCAAGGGACCTAGTTTACAATAAAGAATATGGGCTCTGAAACCAATCACATGACCCTGTTCAAACCCTGTCTTTTTCATTTATTAACTGAATAATCTTTGACATACTAGTATCACTTACCACTCTCTTCAGTTCATTCATCTCTCAAAAGAAATAACAAGTGTTGTTATGTCACATCATGAAGTTATTCTGAGCATCAAATGCAATAATTTCTATAAAGCATTTAGTATAATTCTAAGAACACAGTAAGCTCCATTGAAATGGTAAATGTTATTTCTTTTTTCTAAAATTAGGATGATAAATATATAGAAGTTATGATCAGGGGTTATGAAAATATTGGGCATGTGACCATGAAGAAGTTCCTTAAATTCTCTGAGGCTTAAATCCCTCTTCTACAAGTGAAGGTTAGAATAGGGTCCACCTCATAGAGTTGGGGATATTAAATAGGAGTCACAAATTTCAGCACTTGACACACAGTAGGAATTCTAATTATTGAGAAAACAAATA